CCCGAACCCCAATCTACCCAACATGTAATCCACAAACTGTCAATTAACATGGTCATATGTCTTCTCCAAACTAACTTGCAAAGTATCCCCTCCCTCTTGTTACCCACCAAATCGTCCACTACTTCATTTGCTACCATGACAGCATCCAAAATCTTTCTTCCCTCCACAAATACATGTTGGCTCTTTTTGTTAACTCGATCAACTCTACCTTCCTTGTCCTAATCCCCAGGAAAGAAGGGGATAGTTGTTTTTTCCGATTTTAGACTAATAAGTCTAGTGGGCAGTGTCTACAAATTGCTTTCAAAGGTGTTGGCTAGAAGGCTCTCTAAAGCTTTAAAGTCTATCATCGGGGATTATCAACATCCTTTCGTTAAAGGGAGGCAAATTTCTGATGCCATTTTAATTGTAAATGAAGTGGTTGACGATCTTAACAGAAATAAAAGCAGAGGATTGTTGTGTAAATTGGATATGGAGAAGGCGTTCGACAATGTTAGTTGGGACTTTATTGACTATATGCTCAAGCGTTTTGAATTCAGTTTAAAATGGTGCGAATGGATCAAAACTTGCATCTCCACAACTAGTTTTGCTGTCATGGTCAATGATGGCCCTTCCTAATTTTTTAATGTTTCAAGAGGATTGCGCCAAGGCAACCCGCTGTCTCCATTACTCTTCATCATGGTTATGGAAGCTTTAAACAAGCTTATTGGGTAGGCTAGAAACTTGAATCTGATCAGAGGAATCAACATCGGTAAAGAGGAAAACATTGAAATCACTCATCTATTCTTTACTAATAACACCCTAATTTTCTGTCAGCCTGAGATTAACATGTTGCTTAATCTTAGATGCATTCTTCTGTGCTTTCAAGCTCTTTCGGGTTTAAAGATCAACATGTCAAAGTCTGAGATGGTGGGTTTTGGGATCAACAATAATATGAATCCTCTGGCTTCGGTTTTGAAATGCAAAACAACTTTACTTCTTATAAAATACCTTGGGGTTTCCCTTGGTGCGAAACATAAAGATCCTAAAAGTTGGGAACCAATGATGGATATCTTTAATAAACGCCTTGCTAATTGGAAGAGAAATTTCTTGTCAAAGGGAGGCATATTGACATTGATCAAAAGCACCTTATCAAACCTCCCAACATACTATCTTTCTGTTCTAACTGTCCCTACAAAGGTTGCCAAAATTCTCAAAAGAACACAATGCAGATTCCTATAGGGAGAAGAGGAAAACAAAAAAAAATTTCATCCTGTAAATTGGGAGGAGGTGAAGACCCCCATTAGTTTTGGAGGCCTCGGATTGAGATCCATAAGGACTTTAAATAAAGCCTTGCATGGAAAATGGGCATGGAGATATTGGAATGACTCTAATAGCTTGTGGAAAAGAGTTGTGGACTGCAAATGGAATATGAAGGGTTGTCTAAAGAACCACAGTAATCATGGACTGAGCCTATGAAAGAGTATCTCTAGTATGGAAAAAGCTATTATGAATTGCTTTAAATGGGCAGTGGGCAGAGGAAATAAAACCCATTTCTGGTCGGACATCTGATGTGGGAACAAAAATCTACAAACCCGTTTCCTTCTCATTTATGCTTTGGCCAAGGAAAAATTTATGCTCATTGAGCATGCGGTTGACAATAGCGCGGGCAACTGTTGGAATATAGTGCTGAACAGGAATTTAAAAGATTGGGAAATTGAAGAATTTGATAACTTGATGGCTATGCTGGAATCTATAAGAATTAGTGATAAAGATGATAAGCTGATATGGTCTTTGAACAAAAGTAGCTTTTTTAGCATCAAATCTTTCTACAACCATAAAACAGTGGGATCAAACAGGTTTTCCTAGCAAAAATGATTTGGGAGGCTAGTGCACCCCCAAGAATCTCCTTCTTTGCTTGGGAAGCCTCTAAAAATCATATCCTTACCATCGATAATCTCATGAAAAGAGGCATTACTCTAACAAACAAATGCTACTTGTGCAAGAGAAATTCAAAATCGTGTAACCGTATGTTGCTTTGGTGCCCTATCACTTCTTTTCTATGGACCATGGTCTTCGGTCTTCTTGGCATACTTTGGGTTGCGGCTGGTACTGTCAAAGATGAATTACTTGCTTGGGAAATGATAAGTAGAAAAAACAAAAAATTCAGACTCATCCCTCTCACTATTATCTGAGTAATTTGAAAAGAAATGAACAACAGAGCTTTTGAAGGAAAGGAAGACACTTTTAGAGTAAATGGCTCCATATCTTTGGTTCTATTGTGTTAGATCATAGTATTACCCATTCTGACGATTTAGGGTCATTTGCAAATATGTTAACTGACTTGTAAATCCTTTTGTACATGGATTTGGCACCTCATATTAATATATTTCTACACTTTTATCTCAAAAAAAGAATACATGTTGGCTCTCCCCAATCACTTCTCCTAACATCTTGGACAAACGTCTAGCAAGAACTTTAGAGATGAGTTTGTAGATGCATCCCACCAAACTGATAGGTCTGTAGTCTTTGATGTTATTCACTCCTCCACCTTGGCAATAAGCACCAGAAAAGTTGAGTTCAATAATTTCATAGAAGTCTACAATTAATGTAGCTCCTTGAAGACCTCCAGTAGATCCCCTTTATAACATGTCAACCATCTGGCTCCAATACTTATCACCATTGC